AATCCTATAACTATCTTTTAACTTTTGTTTCATTATAGGATTTATGAAGATAATACTGAAAATCACAAAATATAGAACAAATCCTATGTGTTTCCTACCCACTTCTATCAAAATATTACATTTTATCAACGTGGTACCACATTTTTTAAAATAAAAGGCTATAGAAATGATCAAAATTCAGCCTACTTATATTTGGTTGCATTTATAACATATAGCTTTGTTTATCCATTTCATATCAGTGGACATTAAGGTATTTATAACTTAAGAAATTGTAACCAATACCTCAATTAGCATCTACATATCTCTCTTTGTGCATACAAGCAAGGGTTCTTCTAATTCTGAAGTGGAAATTTAGGTATAAGCTTGATAAATTAAACCGTAATATCTCTTCAACTTTGTTAAAACTAGCCCAGTTGTCCTCCTCCAAGGTTGTCATACACATTTACCCCAACTCCAAGTGAAAATGATACTGCTCCCTCATTTCATGAACACTATTGTTTGAGCTTTTCCCATTCTTCAAATAAGTGGATATGCAATGTTATCTTGTGATGTGAATTCACATTTCTTTGATTTGTAGTAAATATGAATACTTTATAGCAGGTTATGGGTCATTTATCCTTCTGCTCCTTAAGTCGCTTTTTCATTATTTTTGTCCATTTATATTGAGGTAATTTGTATAAGAGTCTTGATCTGTAAGTGATTAACACATTCATTGACCTAGAAAATTCTAATACTAAGTAGTGGCTTCACCCTCTTTCTACAACCTCTTTCCACATAATCCAAGATACTTGGAACACTTTAACTCCTGGTATAAGCAGTTAGGTTGTAGTTCAATTCTATACATATTCTAAACTCGAGAAGGTGCTATTTTTCATTGCTTCACACAGTCAACAGTCATTTTGCTTTATTCTCTTACTCTACACTTTTATTACTTTTCCTTTAAAAATTTTTTTTATTTATTATTTTTAGGTATATGAGTGTATTGCTTGCATGTAGGTAGGTGCACCCATGTCATGCAATGCCCGTGGAGGTCAGAAGACAGTGTCGAATCCCATGGAAGTGGAGTTATGGATGGTTGTTAGCCGCCATGTGGGTGCTGGGAATCGAACCTGGGTCCCTTGCAAGAGCAGTCAGTGCTCTTAACTGCTGAGCCATTCTCCAGCCCCACTTTTATTATTTTTCTTCCTTTGTGTGCTTCTGGCCTTTTATCTAAACTCAATTTCCTTTTGCCCAAGTAACATCCTTTGCTATATTATTTGAAAATTTGACAACAGCATCCATGAGTCAATGTGAGCTGCCTTCAAAACTCTGCTGTTTTCATTAGATAACTTCTGAAGCTTAACCATACATGTATGCCTACTTTAAACCCTGACTGATAAAGTAATAGATACACATTTAATACACTATTGAACTGGATTTGATGTCATTTAATTTAGAACTTCTCTATAGAAGTAGTTTTTCATAGTATTCTTTCCAAGCACTATTCTTTTTAAAAGTTTTGTTTTTTCCAAGAGAAGATCTGGCTATGTAGCCCTGGCTGGCCTGGAACTTGAGCTCCTCCCCCCCTGAGGCATCCCTAGCTCTAGAATCACATGGCTGTGCCACCACACAAAGCTTCTAGGATTCTTGTTTTCAGGTTTGGGTATTAAGTTTATAGGTATATAAAAACCTTAGAAAGTCTAGGGATTTCAATCCTTTTCATTTTCATGAGGTTCAGGATATGTCATCCTGAAATATGATTTAGGGATCAGAACATGCCACTCTAGAATATGCTACGTTAACATATAGATTATTTTGAGTCAAAAGAAACTGAGAACTAAACAAAGCAGGAAAATGTCTTTACCTTCCTCTCAACTGCCAAAAACACCCTATAAAGCTTCCCTCCTTTTTGTAAGTGGAAATTTATATCCACAAAGGAAATTTTTGCTAGTGAAGGTGTGAGACCAGAGATACTTTTGTCCTCCCAACAGTGCAACATTTAGCCACAACTCATTTCTTCCCAGACCCTCCCATGCTTTGTCTCTTCCACTCCTAGAGTCTTGTCCCTTCTCTCGATAAGGAGACATGTCAACCTCAGTGTCCTCGCTATCTACTTTAGTCTCGTATTTATGTGGGACTCTGATGCTATAAAGCATAGAGTATGCTTTAAATTGTTTTTCTCCTGTTAGTCTATATTATCTCAGTTTAATTTTTCCTATGCTCTTCCACCCTACCCTGTCTCTTTTTTTATAAACTATCTTCCAATTTGATAATTTTGGTGATTATTGGCAGAAAAAAAATTTTTTTAAATTTTGCATGTATGAGTGTTTTACCTACATCTACGTAAGTACACCTGTGGATGCAATGCCCATGGAGGCCAGAAAAGGGTGTGGGATCCCTGGAACTGGAGTTATGGTTGGTTGTTAGCCTCCATATGGGTGCTAGGAACCAAACTGGGATCCTCTACAAGAGCAAACAGGGCTCTTAACCACTGAGCCATCTCTCTAGCCCAGTGTCTAAACTCTTAGTCTCAAGCTGGTAGTGCCACTTTGGGAGACTGTGGAAGCTTTGGGAGGCAAGGCTAGTCTGGAGGAAGTGAGTCATGAAGGCAGTCATTCATGAGGTTGTAGAAGATCCACATCTGCTGGATCTCTCCCTCTGCTTCCTGGTCTGCTGAGATGTAAGCAAGCAGCCTCACATTCCTGCTGATATAGCCACACCCTACCACTGCCATACTGCCCCAGCTATGGTGGACTGTGTCTCCTCAAACCATGAGCCAAAATAAAGTTCTTCTCCTTTAAGTTGCTTCTTATCAGGTATCTGGTCACAGTGACAATAAAATGACGAATTCAGCAGATAGCACAACTTATCTGGATAATTTGTCATCCTTCAAGACTCAGCAGAGGCAAATCAACTTTCCTTGATTTCCACTCACCAGAGTTGAAGCCCTTCCATAGTGAAGTCAGGTATACTGGCCTGCATAGCCCTTACCACCTCATACTGCTTCAAAAAGGATCTGTTTATCCCTTCTCAACAGACCCTGAACTCCTTGAGAAGAATGGGGGGAGTCATATCCTTTATCTGTAGTTACAGTATCTGGCACAATCCCTTAAACACAGAATGAATGTCCAAGTTTTATGACCATAAAAAGACAGTATTGGGGCTGACAAGATGGCTCAGTGGTTAAGAGCACTGACTACTCTTGCAGAGGACCCAGGTTAGATTCCCAACACCCACATGGCAGCTACGAACCATCCTTAACTCCAGTTCCAGGGGAATCCGATTCCCCCTTCTCACCTCCGAGGTATTGCATGACACGGGTACACTCACATACATGCAGACAATACACTCATACACATAAAATAAGAATAATAAATTGTTAAAAAAAGATAGTGTTAAAGGGACAGTAGCTTAAATTTCATAAATCAGAAATGAGTCAAAGTGCAGATGAAGGTTAGATGACTCAAGCTGGAAAGTCATGAACTACTTTTAGCTCATTTTAACAGCTGGGAGTCAACTATAACCTGGTGTTTAATTTCTGGGATTAAGACGACCAGGACAAATGAATAGACTCTGAAAGTAATTAACTCAACACTTGCTGTTTCATACCTGCCTGGTCACTTTCACCAAAAATCACTGACAGAGTGTTATGAAAATGATTACACATTATGAGATCTTCAACACAAAACAATGAGAATAAAACAAAAATAAAACATTGATCTGTTTTGTGTATATGCCAGGAAAAGTATGATTTCTTGCAAGAAAAGAGTATATTATTCAATTAATATTCATTATCCTGTACTCTGAGAGTAACTTGAACATGAAAGATACAACCTACTGGTTGCCTATTCCCTGTCCCTTTTGAGCTATGAATCTGAGGCTCTGGTAGAAATCACAGGAGACTTGATACAATTAACCCTTTCAATCCTATCCAGACTTTATCATCTGCTTTAAAAGCAACAAAAAATAACCCACCTCCACAAAAATGGCCAACTGTTCAAGACCAGGTGTAAGAAAACACTAGATTGTATTTGACAGAGATTTGTAAGACGTTGTACAAAAGGAAAGATATGATAAGTTAAGATGGTAGTTCTTGCTGTCTGCTGTGCTTTCCAGTCATGACCTCAGACAAGCCTGGGACCAGGACTGTGACGTTTTAGTCTTCTCTGAAAAGGACTCCCTCATCATCCTGGGCACAGCATACAGGCTGGGGTATGTATGCATGTACTGTCAACGTGTACTAAAATTTGCTTGTGACACCAAAAGTCAGTTTTCTCAGCATTCCTTTGAAATGTGGAGTCATGCACAAAGATCCCAAAATCCTGTAGTTTTTCCCTCTGAGGTCAGACAGGGCTGCTTAGCCTTTATTGCTTCAGAACTCATTTTTGTACTTTTGTTTCTTAGTTTATGTTTGCTTTTTGAGGCTGGACTTGCGCACAGCACTAGCACAGAGCACCAGCACAGACTAGTCTTCCTAAGTGCAACAGGGTGTGATATACTTTGCAAAGAAAGTGTAGATATTGCGTAGCCTTAATGAACTCAACTTTGGTTCAAGTTATGGTGCTGCTGGCCGTGTGTTCCATGCTAATGAATCAACAACATACATTAAGTAAAATATCATTGCATACCATTAGCTGGCCTGGAGCTCCCTATTTAGACCAGGCAGGCCTCAAACTCACCGAGATTCGCCTGCCTCTGCCTCTAGAGTGCTGGGATTAAAGATGTGTGCCACGACGCCCAGCTAAGTAAATTGTCCTTAATCAGAGACACATAAAGTTACATAATGATCAGTTGACAAAAATACCGTACTAGGCTCCTAGCATTACCATGTCCACTAGGACCAATGGCTCCGCACTGTCCGCCCACGCGCCCTTCCTTTCCTCACCCGCAAGGCATTCTCCCGTTCTCTTGTCCACCAGTGGGTCGTCTGCCTGGGCATCCCTAGCGCTGGAGAGGTCGCCTTCCGCTGAGTTTCGGGTCGGCCGGCAGGTGGCGCCCGACCCGGAGATCCTGGCAGCGCTCTGTGGACCAGGTGGACTGGAAGGGGCGGAGGTAACTAACTAGCAGCGGCCAGAGGTGGCCGCCCGCCCCCTCCTCGCAGGACACGCGCGCCTGGAGAGGGCGCGAGCTGCGGGGCCGGCTGTCTTCCGAGCTCGGACCCCGCTGCCATCTGCTCTGCGATTCGCGCGCGTATCCCCCCCGCCGCGCTCAGTTCCAAATCGGCCACCATGGAGGCGCAGGCACAAGGTGAGTGGTCGCCGGTCGCCCCCAAGGCCGGGTCCTGGATGCCCAGGAAGCCGCTTTTCCTGAATCACCTAACTTTACTCTCGGCCGGCGAAGCGGTGGCATCCCACAAAACCAGAACTCGGCTCCTACGTACGTCTTCGGGATAAGGCTTGCATTTCCTCGCCAAACTCAGGATTTGTGGTGGGGCTGGGGACTGGAGAAGGGGCCGGGGACCCCCGCGCCAGCGGCCTGCCCGCCGGGATTGTGCCCCTGGAACGCACGGCCCCTTCCCGCAGCCAGTTGCCCCCACTTTCTCAACCTGGCGGGTACCCAAA